GGCATTTTTTGATCAACTTCTAGAATTCTGAAGAGAGTAAAATTGTTGTCTTGCTGGAATTTTATAATTACATAGAGAGAATTTTAGTTCGTATCCCCCTTTTGATTTACCCTTCGTCTCTTATATAGATTGATAGATTCAAGCTTGCTGTCATAATCATAGTCATAGTCAAGCTATAGTGTTCCAACTTAGGGTGCGAGCCACGGTCCTTTAGAAAAAATCTAATTGGTTGGTAAGTGTAGCTGCTATTAGATCATCATGATACTTAGACATTGTGATTGGGTACTAGGCTATCATGTCATCTTTCTAATTGGTTGGTTTAAACACTACTAGTGTTAAGGAGGAGCACTTCCTTTGTTATAATGATGTTTCCAAATAACATTCGTCATAGGATAATTCCGACCTCTATCGACTGGGTCTTAGATCAGGTTGTCGAGCTGTGTGTATGGGCTCTTTGACAAGAAAGCTCTTTTCACCAAATCAAGAGAAACCCTAAACCTATCTAACATGGATTTCATATCGGCAAAAACAGTTGTTCCCCCCAAGTCTGAGTTCTACCTTTGAAGAGATCGGACCTTGATTCCCAGTCTCAATTTGTGCTTCACAACTTGGTGGGAGACAGTTCTTCTCTTAGCTTGTGCATGAGCAATATGTATCAGAAGATCAGAAGTGGTATATGATCCAATAAGATGAAGCTTCTTGTGCAAGATTTTCAAAATGACATCATTTTACAAGGTTTAATATGGACCGTTCATTTGAATTTTTTAAATTCCCTCATTTCACAATGGACAGTCTAGATGACATCGGTTCTCATTCCTTTGCGCTTTAATGTTTGTGGTACCTTCATTTTTTCTCTCATTTTTTATTCTCATATTCTCTTTTGTACCCTGTTTTTCTTGAAGGTATCTGCTCAAAGGATTTTGCTGTTTGTACAGAAAAAATAATTAGAAGAAGTGACCGAAATGATGTAGAGGGAAAACATTGGATGAAAAAACTGACCGTGTTTTAAACTGACAAATGATAGAGTGTCATGTGACAATATGTAATACATTATGTAAGCATTGATGTACATGCATCATTGTCACTATTTGAAACAATCTTCGTCTTTTCGAAATCTTTTGTAAGATTTTTTTTAGGTACCTTGATAAGTATATTTTCTACGCTTATTTGGGGTTTTAAATAATGACATTCATAGTTCTTTTGATTAAATACTACCTAATTTGTTATAATCTGTGTTTAATAGGTAAAACTCATGATTGGATGAAGAATTGGAGAAAGCAAGCTAAAAATAGAGAAAATTGGCGAAATCAAAATTATGGGGACTAAAGTGCAACAATTAAATGGTTGATTTGGGCCACAAAATGAAGATCAAAGATACTAAAAGCTTAAGCAATTGGAAGATAAAGGAACGAGAATACAAGTAAAATTGATCAAAATTGTATTGTGGAAGAGTTCAGGGACTAAAACAAAGAAAAGTGAAAGTTCAACGAACCGGGCGGCCATAAGGCGTTAGCCTTGTGCGGTCGCACTCGTGACTCCACGATCAACAGGTCCTCAAGTGAGCCTGCAGTCTTATTTACAGAAGAGGAGGACGAGCATCTTTTTTCGCCATACAAGTTCACACTTGTTGGCAAATTCTCTCTTACGTCTTCTATGATTAAGGTACGTGATAGTTTTTTTGCGCTTTGGATTCACGGTGATTATATGATAGGATTGATAGATCCTTATCATATTTTGATTCACTTGGTACACG